TCTGAAACCTAGTTTTTTGTGTCTAAATTTTACATCGTACAAAATATTTAACTTGAGATGTCATTTATAAAAGAACTACATAATAAATGAACATACAAATCACGTGATATTATAATTTCCATTCTAACAGCAACAACATATGCGTATTCAGATCTGCTATTTTCAAAGTTGGGTCAAGCGATTTGGAACACAGAATTTTTGCGAGGAGATGCAGCCACGGCAGAATCCAGCGCAAAAATCTGCATAATTTCCGAAATCCAGGTGTCAGCACTAGTACTCCCATTAGAGAAGACACCGCTAATCTCGACGTGGCCGCGTTTATAGTTATTAAACGAAACGCGGTAGGAACAAAAGGGGGAAGTGAACAGCTGCAACACGCCATTGAAACGTTCAGAATGGGGCGGCGGCGTGGCTATTGTTAAGCCGTTAATAAACATAGATAAATACATACCGGGAGAGCCGGAACGTCATGGAAATCTCGACGCTGCGCGTACCGTAGTTATTCATACATAAATTAGAAGCGCGAAATGAATACCGACGTAGTGTTTAATTAAATTTGTGCTATGATGTACGTGCCAGTTATTACAAACCGCTCCCGCGGGGATTCCCCTTCCCGGGATTACGTGTTTATAACTTTTTCCTCTCGTTAGGTCTCCTTTCTCTGTTTCACTCTCTTTTTTACTCAGTCGTTTACTCTCTTTGTTACACCTTTACTCTCACTCTCCTCCGCTCTTTTACCCTCACCCCTCTGGCTCTTCCACTCTCTCTCTCTCTCTCTCTCTCTCTCTCTCTCTCTCTCTCTCTCCCTCACTCTATCTCTTTATCTGTTTCCTTCTATTACTCTCGATTCCTATTTCTTTAGCTCTTTTACAGTCTCAACCCTCGCTGTCACTATTTTATACTTACTACCCTTCGCTCTTTTACTCTTTATTTCTCTCGTTCTTCCTATTTCTCGCTCGTTTAATCATCATTTCTCTCTCTCTCTCTCTCTCTCTCTCTCCGTCGTTCTATTATTCTTTCTTTCTCATTACTCTATTTCTCTCTTTCTTTCCTCCTTTCATATCCTCACTGTTTTTCTCACTTTCTTTTAGTCTCTATATGTTTACGTAAAAATAAATTATTTCTTTTAATAATTTTAATGAGTTGAACATAGTGTAACAATATTACTAAATTCTTCTATGTTCACAGGATTGTGTAAATCCATACATAAAATCCGCGGTCTAATAATTATAGCAACGTAAAGAATACCAAATAGCAAAGTCTCGAATAAATTTTTGTAATTTTTTGTCATAGAAAAGAATTTTTGCAGTTTAATGTACTTTGCGTATTCAAAGATTCTTTCCTTCTTTTACTTCCTCACTCTCTATTCATTTCTTTTCGTCTTTATGTGTGCTCATTTACACTCTCTCTCTCTCTCTCTCTCTCTCTCTCTCTCTCTCTCTCTCTCTCTCTCTCTTCTCTCGGCAGGAGCATCTGGCGACGTGCTAATTTATTTTTGCGGAAATTTAAGCAAACGGGCCAGCGACGTATACGAATGGCGGATGGTATATATCCGTTTAAACGCGCGTCGTTACATATTTAATTACGCGCGAGTTTGTCGCCTGGATAAACCGTCCACGATAATTCATCGTGCCGATTCCACGTGAACCTCCTCTACGAAATATTCACAAGGAGACGCACTTTGCCGCGCTAGCCGAATGAAAAAATTCTGGCGACCAGAAAACGACGGTCTACGGGCAGAGAAATTATTCAACGCCGAGGAAGATGGCGACAGATCACTGTGCCTCGAAAATCGAAATTTTGCCGAGACTTTCGGAGCGTCTTCTTCCTAAACGAAGAACCCCCTTTTCCTTCGTGGAGAAGCTGATTTTTCTGCAGAGCTTTGCAGTTTTGTTCTTCAAATATTACACTGGATTCGAACTAAAGATTTTCCAGAGTAATTGTAATTTTAGAATCTCCATTGTAATTCCAATTTTAGATTTTCCGTTCTAATTCTAATCTTACATTTTCCATTGTAATTCTAGTTTTCAATTTTCCATAGTAATTCCAATTTAAAATTTTCCTTAACTAATTCTTCAGATTTTCCATAGCAACTCTAATGTTAGATTTTCCATAGTAATCCTAATTTTTTATTTTCCATGACAATTCTTCAGCTTTTCTATAGTAATTATTTCGATTCTCTATAGTATTTCGAAGCAATGCATCGTTAAAAAGCATGTGGTTCGGTAGTTTGAGTTGCAACTTCAAAATTTAAACGCTTCTTTTTTGAAACAATGTTTATCTTGGTGATTAATGAAATTATTGCACAAATCAACTAAAACGACGATTTTAGTATCATTAAGTAGCTTAAATATCCGTCTAAAGTAGCTTAAATATCCGATCACAAATATTTGTTCATTTATTCGCAAGCGAAGACATTTTTCCCTTAAATCGGTGAAAAAGTCGAGAAGCCAGGCCACTATGGCCAGGAAATCGGAATTTTAACAAGTATGACGGGATATCTTTCCCTGAAATGAAGAGCTTCTGTTTCTTGGCAGAAAAGTTGATTTTTTGCACCGCCTTGCAGTTTTATTTAAAAATATCTCTGAAAAATCTAAAGCTAGTATTTGACATATTTTTGATGTTATCGATCATTTAAAAACATGTGAATTGGGATTTTGAGTTGCAACTTATTGGAATTGCAACATATAAAAATTTAAAGGCTTCTTTTTTAAAGAACGTTTACATTGATAATTTATGCGATTTATGTAATCTTACGATTAGTTTCATACATATGTCTCTGAAAAATATAAAATATATCTTCAAAGATGTTGATCACTAAATCACATGTAGCTCAAGATTTCGAGTTGCAATTAAAAAATTTAGATACTATACGACAATTAAAATGTCATTAAAGTAGATAAAACACAAAAATCTTCCCCTTCATTCATTCTTAAGAAAATCTTTCCCTCAAATTGAACTCTAAATAATTAGAGTTATGTATGTTAGAGTTATATATATATATAAAAATAAATAGAATAATTATGATTCGAATAATTATTCTATTTATTTTTTTCTTCAATTTTTGTTTCATATTCAAGACATTACGTTCCACCATTTCTACCTTTGCAACCTAGCGGAGATGTACCAGCTTTATCGAAGGAACAAATAAAAATGCAGAAACATTGCACAAGTTGAAAAAGCGTACTCATTTGCATCCTCTGAGTTGAAACAAATGGTTGTAACTAGCCTGCGGATTCATCAAGATAATTACGAAATAAAAACTTCCTGCATCAATTCGAAGAGACGACAGTTGAATAAACATTTATTTCATCTCTCAGAAGAATGTTTACGTGTTGTCAAATTACTCTGGAACTTCTACTGTGTTATATTTCATTACACTTTTGCTAGAAGTCCAAATATAATACTTGCAAACTTATAACAGTGTGACGTTCATTTGAAATACTTACAGTGAGTAACGATAATTCAGACATTATTCAAAACGTGTGTGTAATGACTTTTTTAATATTCGATCAATTGGTTTGAATTGTTTTTTAAATATTAGACTGACTAGTTGATTAAGCAAAGATTTACAAAAATTTATGCTAGAAATGTAGTTGGTTGTAATTACAAAACGAATTATTTTTTCAATTGATTTCAGGTCGAAAACTTAAAGGATGCATTTTATAGATCTCAGCAACTACGTTATGAGGTACATTATTATTTGTTGACAATGTAGATTTTATGCATTTATGCCAAATTCATGCATTTATGCCGTAAAAAAGTTTCAGAATGTTCTCACATTTGCCTGAGTTTATGAACTCTTGCTTCTCAGAATTAATTAAGAAAATGTTCATTTTGCACAAAATATTATTTGATCTAGTCACGAGCAACAAAAAGTTGAACGAACATCATAACTTTATTTTTGTTGTCATTCAAACCGATTGCAGTTTTTGCACCAATCCTCTTGCCACTCATTGTCTACTAACCTAATCAGTCTAACATCTAAAAAAATGATTTCAAAAAAGTTATTGCGTTTTAACCTATGGACGGCGGAGTCCGGTCTGTTTTGACCTAGAATATAAATTCGTCCATCTAGTTTTTCACAATTAATTAAAATTTTCATATGTTTCACTCAGATCTTTAGAAAAACTACCTTATGCAGAAGGTATAGGTTAAAAATTATGATAAAAAAATGTATTAAATAAATATAAAATAAAATATAAATAAATCAAAGTATAGTCATTGTCAGTTACATCACTGTCTAAAAGAACCGCCGTTCAAGCGTTAAATGGTGACCGAATGTGATCTGCATTCACGTTATAATAAATTCGAAATAAAGGTCGGGCAGGTCGCCCGCAGCGATTATTCGCCGGAAGAAGCTTCGATTCGAGAGTTACAGTGGACACGGTAGATTCGATTAAACGGCGGCGGGTAACTCGATCTTCGAACTAATACGCCGGCCGGGCCAGTTAATCACAAAACGGCCGCGTATTAAATTAGCCGGCTTATTACTTTCGGGTCTCCCGCGCAACAAGGGAGTTTCTACTTAATAATCGCGCGTCGCCGAAAGTAGCGTGCGGGAGTTTCTCACGGGGCTGTGTGTACAGTGAATATAATTTTCTCGATAAATCCAAGTTGCACCGGCAATCCCCCATGGGCCATGGTACGGGGCCGGGCAAAAAGTAGTAACCACCGGCGCTATCAAAGTAGCAAGTTTTAACTTTATCTCAAGCTCTGCCTACCGGAGATTGCGAATATATGTCGTCTCGTTCCCCAGAATCTCGTTAACGCGATATTTTCCGGGATTTCATTTAAACGATCTTCGAGGCAGCCAGGCGTTAGCCGGGGATTACGGATCCATTTTGTTTAACCGATCCTGGAACCGTGCGTGGCAGCGAAGAATTCGCCGGAACACAATGCGCCCTAGAATTGTTTCGGATTGCAGGCCGCAGATCACACTCGCGAAATAATTATTCACACTGGTAACAAAACGTTGCTGAATATTAAAAAGTACTCACCGCCTAAATCAGCAAAGAAGATCTCTCGCAGCGACAGGAACTCCTCCTCGGGTGTGATGCCCGCTCGGCCGAAGCAGTCGTTCTCGGGCCAGACGTCCCTGAAAAGTCAGTTTTGTTAGTCGAATCGGGATTGTTGTCAAATTTGATCGTTTAACAAGTATACATCAACCTCCTAAAGTATTAGGATTTAATCGATTTAGTGTAAATTGTGATTTATCATTCAATTTAGGCAATGTTTGAACACAATCGTATTGTGTTCTGTTAATCATTGCAATGTGTTCGAAATAACGTGGGTTTTTATGCAAAATAATAATTGCGTGCGAGGATTGAAAGCTGCGCAACGATGTTGTAACATTGTTCTATTCAATTCACCGTTTTGTATTCGATACATTCATTTTTGCGGTGAATGCATGAAGTCCACAATTTAATAAACACATTTGTGAATTTTACAAATTCACTCTGAACTAAAAAATTGATCTTCCTCCACACCTATCTCACTTCATTTCCTCCTAAACTAGAAAGTAATTCCAGATTAGAAATAACTGCAAACTGGAAATAAAACTCCAACCTAGAAATAACTTCAAACTAGAAAATTAACTTCGGACTAGAAAATCAACACTAGATTATAAATAACTCCAAACCACGAACAACTCCAAATTAGAAAAGTGCATCCAAACTAGAAATAACTCGAGACCAGAAAAATAACTTGAAACTAAAAAATAATTCCAAACCAGAAACATCTTAATAACACTATACCAAAAAGATAACTCCAAACTAGAAAAATAACTCCAAACTAGAAGCAATTCCAGGGTAGAAGAATAACATTAGACTAGACAAATAACTTTAAACTAAAAAACTAATTGTTGCGACGGCAACACCGAAGGTCGAACGTCCCTGGCCATCCCTTGAGCAATTAAGCAATATACCTGCGACAGTAAAAAATGCATCCGAACGAAAATACCCTTCGACCCGACGAACGGACAACACGACTCATAAATTCCATATTTCACAAAACGGAAAAATTACAACCCGAACTTTCGAACAGTTTCCCACTCCTCATTTCAAGTTCCTTCCGACACACCCATCTCCAATCAAAAACGCTTCACTTCCTCCACCAAAACCCACCATCCACCAATCAACAAAAAAACCGAGGTGACAAGCGGAAGGGCACCTAGAACGTTAGTCAGAACTGTTGGAACTCCCAGAACTCGTAGAACTCTAAGAACGCAGATAGAACGCAAATAACGCATCGCTAAGACCATAGCTGTACTGTAATATTATTAAAGTGTACATAAAAGCAACCAGCGACTTCGTTCAACTTAATTCCATTTGGAAACAACGCGCATATACACTAATTCTAGACTTGAAAAATAACTCTACATTAGAATAATAAGTTCGGATCAGGAGTAACTTGAAACTAGAAAAGTAACTCCAGGCTAGAAATAACTCCAGAAGAGAAAAACGTCTCCAAACTCGAGCCGACACATAAATTAAAGATAACAATTGCGAGTGGGTGTCCCATAGCAAGTCCGACCGGATTGGCCAGAACAGATGAAAGAAATTAACATAGCCGTTCCCCAAATTGCAGAAATTAAGGTTTACATTAGATTTGCATTAGAAGCGGCAATGAGGATCCCGCGGGACTGACATCGGAAATAAATTCGATGAAATTCAAGTGGATTGAGAAGCAGCTGTACCCTCGGCTTCTATCTTCTCGCGCAGCTTCCATCCATTCCCTTCTCCGGCTACCCGCGAGGGCGAGTCTTCTTCTTGGGGGTGTTCTGCCGTTGGATGTTCTGGAACAGCCCGTTGACGATCACAGCAGCCGGGCCAACGTGGATGGAAGAATGGAGGGGTTCAACACTTGACGCAAGCAGCCGGATGTTGGTGTAGATCGTGGCGAGACTCTCGTCCCCAAGGGAGCCTTCTAGGAGACCCATTCAGATTGCCACTCGGACTTCTCTCTTTTCCGTCGCCGCCTCGCCCGTTCCCTGGATCTCTCGCCGTCCTTCTGCCTTATTACAGATGTATACGCCGCTCAAGACAACGAAACGCGTCATTAACCTGTATCGTCGCTCTAATCCTGTTCCGCTGTACGTGACCCACTTTTCTCGGCGCAATTTCAACAGAGACTCTCCGCTGTCTTAAATTGATGAATATTGTCAATCTCTGGTGTCTCGGATGCTTGCCATTAATTACTTCAGCCTGCATCTCTTCCAGCAATTTGTTAAGCTACGGTTTCCTTTTGTAGGCGCCGGCCTGGAGACGTTCTTTGTAAGGGAAGTTCTTGTTATCGCAGATTTTCCAGAATACGGTCTTCGTGCAACAATCTCTTCGATGATTTTTAGCGAGCGTTGGTTGGCAATTTTTATTCGTTCATTCTGATGAATTATTATTAGATTGTGATTTTTTGTTGTTGTAAGATTGTAATTTAAGGATATTGCAATTAAATGAGAATGTATTACTTTTCATTAAGGTCCACGGCGAATGAAAATACGGTTTCTTTGTGCTAAAAATTTCCTCTCATTATTCCTCCCATTCTATTAATATTATCTTAATGCGATGTAACAATATCTCAGATGATTTTAGTAAACGTTGACGGTAATGGCAATTACAGCGAATTGTACAGAATATGCGAATAGATCGCGAATTTTATGCATTAATTTATTGCAAACTATTAACCTGTGGAGACAATTTAAGGAAACTAGAATTAAATAAAGATATATTACTTTTTCTCAAAAATCGTGGTAAATGAAAATTAAGCGAACAGTTCCAATTGGTAGGGTACGGTTTTCTTTTGTTGACCCATCCTGAGGACATTCTTTGTCGGAAAAAATCTCATTATAACGTAGACTTCTTTGGTCATGATTTTGATGTAATAATTTCTTAAGTGGTTTTAATCAACGCTGATAGCGATAGTAATTTAAATTTCTGGACTTTTGATGAATTACGTGACTGTGACCGTTGTGCAATAATTTTAGGCAAAATCAGGATTTCCTAAAGTAATTTAAAGAAACAGGAATCACGTAAAAATATATTTCTTTTCTAAAGTACTGCAGCGAATAAAAAAGAAGATAACAATAATAACAAAATCATCCTTATAACAATAATCTTCCCATGTGAAACACAAGTAAGTGAAATAAAATATAAACCATTAGAAAAATTGAAGGAAGCTGTAATTTCATTTTTTAATTCATTATATCGAGTATATTAAAAGATAAATGGTTATTAAGTGTAAGATTAAGGTCGCAAGGAGAANAAAACGGAAAAATTACAACCCGAACTTTCGAACAGTTTCCCACTCCTCATTTCAAGTTCCTTCCGACACACCCATCTCCAATCAAAAACGCTTCACTTCCTCCACCAAAACCCACCATCCACCAATCAACAAAAAAACCGAGGTGACAAGCGGAAGGGCACCTAGAACGTTAGTCAGAACTGTTGGAACTCCCAGAACTCGTAGAACTCTAAGAACGCAGATAGAACGCAAATAACGCATCGCTAAGACCATAGCTGTACTGTAATATTATTAAAGTGTACATAAAAGCAACCAGCGACTTCGTTCAACTTAATTCCATTTGGAAACAACGCGCATATACACTAATTCTAGACTTGAAAAATAACTCTACATTAGAATAATAAGTTCGGATCAGGAGTAACTTGAAACTAGAAAAGTAACTCCAGGCTAGAAATAACTCCAGAAGAGAAAAACGTCTCCAAACTCGAGCCGACACATAAATTAAAGATAACAATTGCGAGTGGGTGTCCCATAGCAAGTCCGACCGGATTGGCCAGAACAGATGAAAGAAATTAACATAGCCGTTCCCCAAATTGCAGAAATTAAGGTTTACATTAGATTTGCATTAGAAGCGGCAATGAGGATCCCGCGGGACTGACATCGGAAATAAATTCGATGAAATTCAAGTGGATTGAGAAGCAGCTGTACCCTCGGCTTCTATCTTCTCGCGCAGCTTCCATCCATTCCCTTCTCCGGCTACCCGCGAGGGCGAGTCTTCTTCTTGGGGGTGTTCTGCCGTTGGATGTTCTGGAACAGCCCGTTGACGATCACAGCAGCCGGGCCAACGTGGATGGAAGAATGGAGGGGTTCAACACTTGACGCAAGCAGCCGGATGTTGGTGTAGATCGTGGCGAGACTCTCGTCCCCAAGGGAGCCTTCTAGGAGACCCATTCAGATTGCCACTCGGACTTCTCTCTTTTCCGTCGCCGCCTCGCCCGTTCCCTGGATCTCTCGCCGTCCTTCTGCCTTATTACAGATGTATACGCCGCTCAAGACAACGAAACGCGTCATTAACCTGTATCGTCGCTCTAATCCTGTTCCGCTGTACGTGACCCACTTTTCTCGGCGCAATTTCAACAGAGACTCTCCGCTGTCTTAAATTGATGAATATTGTCAATCTCTGGTGTCTCGGATGCTTGCCATTAATTACTTCAGCCTGCATCTCTTCCAGCAATTTGTTAAGCTACGGTTTCCTTTTGTAGGCGCCGGCCTGGAGACGTTCTTTGTAAGGGAAGTTCTTGTTATCGCAGATTTTCCAGAATACGGTCTTCGTGCAACAATCTCTTCGATGATTTTTAGCGAGCGTTGGTTGGCAATTTTTATTCGTTCATTCTGATGAATTATTATTAGATTGTGATTTTTTGTTGTTGTAAGATTGTAATTTAAGGATATTGCAATTAAATGAGAATGTATTACTTTTCATTAAGGTCCACGGCGAATGAAAATACGGTTTCTTTGTGCTAAAAATTTCCTCTCATTATTCCTCCCATTCTATTAATATTATCTTAATGCGATGTAACAATATCTCAGATGATTTTAGTAAACGTTGACGGTAATGGCAATTACAGCGAATTGTACAGAATATGCGAATAGATCGCGAATTTTATGCATTAATTTATTGCAAACTATTAACCTGTGGAGACAATTTAAGGAAACTAGAATTAAATAAAGATATATTACTTTTTCTCAAAAATCGTGGTAAATGAAAATTAAGCGAACAGTTCCAATTGGTAGGGTACGGTTTTCTTTTGTTGACCCATCCTGAGGACATTCTTTGTCGGAAAAAATCTCATTATAACG